GTGTGTGTATATATATGGAGAGAGAGAGGGAGACAGAGATTTATTTTAAGAAATTTTTAAGGTTGTGGGAGCTGGCAAGTCTGACATCTATAGGACAGGCTGACATCTATAGGAGGCCCAGTGAAGAGTTGATGTTGCATCTCAAGTTTAAAGGTAATCTGAGATAGAATTCCTTATTCCTTGGGGGACCTCATCTTTCTCTTAATGCCTTCAAGTGATTGGATGTGGTCTACTTACGTTATTAAGGGTAATCTGCTTTACTCAAGTCTACTGATTTAAATGTTCATCTCACCTAAAAAATACCTTCACAGTAACATCTAGGGTTGTGTTTGTCCAAATATCTGGGCACTGTGGCCTAGCCAAATTAGCATTAGGTATGACAGAAGGTGACAGGAGCCAGGGCTTGCTACCTAGAATGCTAGCTTTTTATCAGTTCCAAATAAAGGCATCCTAGATAAAGATTCTGACTGCTTTGGCATCGGTTACAGGCTCATTCTTGAATTAATCTCTGTGATTGTGTGGTGGGGTACTTTGACTGGCTAAGCTTCGACCAGGAGCCAATTTCTGGCCAGTCATTGCCCAGAGAGATGGCATCTTCTCTTTCAACTATATGAGTAGAAAGACATTAGAAGAGGCAGAAAGAGGAGCAATCTCCTAAAAGGATTGCTGAACCCTAGAAGGAGAGAGGGTCGGCCAGAACAAATAGCTGTTACTACAGTGATGTAAGGTGACTTGTGATAGAGCTTGTATTTTGGAGCCTGTTTTTCTCCAAATCTTATGGTTTCAAAACCATATAATGAGTTTCTAAAAGTAGAGAGCAGATAGGTTATTTTGAATGATATTCAGATAAGATTTTGGGGGTATAAATTTTAGTGTTTACATTATTTATTCTATAACTATATTAGATCAATGTTTTCTAACCTTTTTTATAACTCATAATTCCTTTTGACAAATTAAAAGACTACTCCATTATTGTTTAAAATTCTAAGTAATGTTAATATTTAGGCTCAATATTAATTACTTGACATCTTACATATTTTGCCTTGCAAATCCTAAGATGATAGAGATATTAGCATCCACATACGAAAAATGAGACTAGGGCTCTGACAGGTTAAGTGACCTGATCAGAGTGAGAAAAACAATTTCTCAGAAGAGCTAGATTTTTCTCTGTTTGCTTGTGAGAGAGATTGGCAGTTAAGCTACTTAGTGATACCATTTTTATGGCTAAATGTACTCCAAGAGAATTTTTATAAATAAGTTTCAGGATTGAAAAATACAGCTTTGTGAGTTTTCACAACTTTCTAGTTTCTAATAGTTTCTAGTTTTTAATGTTTTCTGGTTACAAAACAGTGGATGCTGATGTTTAGAAAAAAAGACATAAAACTGTGTATCTGGGAAGGACTTTGAAGATGATTTTATCTTGTCTTTGATAATATTGGAATTGCATCAAAAACTAAGACAGATGGCTCACGCCCTCCTTGCACATAGAGTCTAGGAAAATGGAAGTGGATTGCATAGACTCAAGGTCCCTCAGCCTAACTGTCCTTGTGAATAACTTGACCATTTCTTATTAGATTTATGTGTTTGTCAACCTTAGGCTTCTGAAAGCCTAGCTTGAGATTTGCTTTCCTTGATGGTTCAAATTCACCGCTCCATGGAATCAGTACTGTGAGCCTTTGGAATACCAGGGAGCTTTATTCCTGACTTGTTCTTTATAGCTTTGGTACTTGTGGATTCCTTAGGATGTGCAAGCATCTTGAGAATGAAAAGAACCAGAAAGATAGTCTAAAATAGAGGATGAGTAGGATCATTTCATTTCCCTTTTCTGGAAATTACTAAGGTGAAGGTAATAGCTTTTCCTGTCATGACATCTAAGATGAGTGGTGGTTCGGGCAAAATGCTCACATACTGTTTTTTTTTTTTTTTTTTTTTTTTTTTTTTTTTTTTTTTTTTTGGTGACAGGGTCTAACTCTGTTGCCCAGGCTGGAATGCAGTGGCCCGATATCTGCTCACTGCAGCCTCTGCCTTCTGAGTTCAAGTGATCCTCCTGCCTCAGCCTCCTTTGTAGCAGGGACTGCAGGTGTGTGAGACCACACCCAGCTAATTGTTGTATTTTTAGTAGAGACAGGGTTTTACCGCATTGGCCAGGCTGGTCTCGAACTCCTGACCTCAAGTGATCCACCCACCTCGGCCTCCCAAACTGCTGGAATTATAGGTGTGAGCCACCACACCCAGCCTCACACACCTCTTTTTGAAATAATGTCTTATATCTGCCTTATCTACCTATATTGGTGGACTCCTTGAGAAGTTGCATGTTAATATTACTTTTTACTGTGGCACAGATCCTTAAAGAGAATTGTTTTAAAATTACTAGTGTTAAAAATAATGTTTGTATTGATTATGTGTCCATCAACTGTAGAAAAGTATACATATTGTTCAAAGTAGGGAGAAGGTAAAAAATATGGTTGAGTATCCTAAGTGCACCTAAATATATGTTTAGATATTTTTATTTGCTTGAAATGAGAAGACTAGTTATAAAGGTTAAGAGTCATTGCAAGTCAACAGAATAACATTTGAGCATCTCTGAAACTGTAAACTAGGTTGAGAAAATTACTTCATTTTCAGTCTGATTTACAGGACAGGTTTTCAGTTATAATTTTTTAAATAGAAAGTGATATAATGGAACATTTAATTCTTTTTAAGTTTTCTGTTTTGCAATATATGTTATACTACTTGGTTGTGCTAATAAAAGGAATATTATAAGACCAGAATTTTATTAGATAAACATGAATCAAAAGTTAAATTTAATTGATCTTTGTACTAAGAGGAATTAATGCCTAAAGATCTCCATATTTTTTTTGTTGTTGGGAATGGTCTTCAGAGTATGTTTAGAAATAACACCATCCTTTCCTCCCCTTCCCCTTCCTCCCCTATAGACCCCAAATTACGAAGTTTGTACTCCTCAAGCTTCCTCCATTTTACCTAAACATAGGCTGTGTTTGCTTTCCAGAGCTGAGTCCTTTGTAATCTGTTTTGGATTTTCACCAAGTGAGCTTCCTTCCTTTGCTCTCCCATCCTTCTGCCTTGGCTACTTTGAGTCAGCTCACTGCCTTCTTGTAGCCCTGTTTTCCTCCGTGCACACTTGATCTGAGCAGACACTGTCAGTGACAGCAGTTAGCAGCAGAGCAGAAAGAATTCAGTACAAGCGTGTGCACTGCTGATCTCTGACACTGTAATGTTTTCTATTTTTGTTATTATCTACTTTCAGAAACTGGGAGCTGAGTTGACACTGACCTTGTGTGGAATGCCTCTGAGGATTTGGGATGGGGGGAGGGTGCTAGATTTTCATATGACTTATCTCTAACATGCTGCAGCAAGACTGAAAACATTCATCTGCTCACATAAGGAGGAAAGAAAATTTCCAAGATTGAGCTTGCAGAATTTGTTGGGTATTTTCAGAAAATTTTCCCCCTGCGTTTTTCTATTTCTTGAATTTGCCTTATTTATATAAGGGTTGGAGGTGGGGGATGGCCTTTGCATAATAAATAGGTTGAGGTATGGAAGGATCGGACTGCAACAATGATTCGCATAGTAAGGGACTGTTTAAAATCTCCACGACATCGCGACCCACATTGCGACCCATCTGACAAACGGTTAGTGAGCTCCTTGGCCGTCTCAAACGTTTAAAAGTACAATGTACAAATAGCTTTATTTGTATAGTTTCTTCCATACACATCTTAAGAACATTGTGCCTACATATCCAAAACAGTTTATTTTTTTCTACATTTAAAATCTCACCTCAAGAAGGTGAGAAATATAAATGAAGGATGCAGTTGTCCCTTAAGTATCTGCTTTGGTATAATTTTCTCACTTTCCTTTATGCTGGAACTAAATGGAGCCTGAGCTTACATTTTGGGTTGTGTCTGAGATGGAAACTGAAATGTAGTCTTGAAGCTCGAAGGAGAAACTTGGCTATACTAACATGAAGGACTTGTTAAATGCTGTCTTCCCTTCTCCATGTTTTCGCCTTTTACCTTTCCCCACAACCCCAGAAATGTACTGCTGCAGAATTCTTTGGGCTTTTTCTCTCATTTTGCAGAAAAGAAAGTGAAGGGAGGTGCGTGTGTTTGTGTGTGCGTGTGCACGCGTGATTTCAGTACAACTACAAATGGGCAGTTAAATTGTTAAATCAAAAGAAACAGCTTTATTTTGCAATTCTGAATCTAAGGTTGCTTGGGATTCATTCATAGCAACCCAGGCCTGATTAAAGCATGTAAGAATTTAGGTAACCATGTTTCAAAGTGAAAGTGGAGCCCAGCATGTTTGATTTGAAGAGTAGAAGAGATAAATGCTGCTGTGGTTCTTTTTTTACTTTATATATACTGTGTGTATATTTGATCAATTTGATTTGATATATGGTCCTAAAATAGCTTTTTTTGAGATGTAATTTTTGATAGAGCAAATTGCCTGTGTATTAACAATCTTTCCCATTTTCTCTGTTGTTTCATTCTAAAATTGATGCACACCAGTGATTTAAGGGGAAATTAACACTTCAGTAAATGTCTTTTTCCTTAATATTGTTGACTGTTTCTATTAGCCATTTTCATTTAATTTGACAGTGGTACCTAAGGGTTAACCTTACAGAGCTGATGCAACCCCTCCTTTTCTTTACCGGCAATTTTCATTGGACACTATTTCCATAGCAACAGTGACATCAGTGAAACCTGAGTGTTTCATTGATTATTTTTCTCCTCTTCCTTTTTTAATCTATCCTCTTTTCACCACATTTTAGTGAGAAAGCAATTTTTTTTTACAAACGGAGCTTATATTGATTTTTATTCCATGAATAATTAAAAGAGGGTAGAAAAATCTGCCCTTCATTTAAAAATTGAATGTTTCACTATGTATTTAAAAAACGATTCAGGATTAGGAGGATGGATAACCATACCAGCTGTAGCTAATGTTCTAAAATATTCTTGCATTGTTTGCTGGTCTTCTAGGGAAAAGAATAATGTGGAACAGGACCTTAAGGAGAAAGAAGATACTATTAAACAAAGGACAAGTGAGGTTCAAGTAAGTGACCATAAAATTTAGTGTTCCACTTCTGATTTAGGACTATTCATTTTAAATGTATATGGTTATTTACTATTTGCTGGATGTTGTATTAGGTCAAAGGAATGCTTAACGTGTTTATATTATATAAATGTTTATCTTTTCCAAGATGATTGTTCTGGCTTAAAATTCTGGCCTGCAAAGATTATACTGCAATGAGAAAGCAATATTTGTCAGCATAGATTTCTGGTTTTGAAAGTATTTTTTAAATGGTACTTACCTGCATATTATATCATTAAAGGTGTAAGTTTGCATGACTTACAATGTTAATATTTTTGCACCAGTAAAATTAGAGTGAGACCATCATCTCCTCCTCTTCCTCCTCCTCCTCCTCATCATCATCAAAAACCAAAATGCTTTTTCATGCATGTGAAATTTTTGTTAGCTAGAAGATCTAGTGTGTTAAAGAACTGTTTCTCATAATACTGGTAGGGTGGGAGATGATGTAGAACAATTTAAAGTAGTATTTTATGAGTAGCTTAGTAACCAGCATATCTTAAACTTTGGCATAAAGAGCTTTAATTCATTTTCATTAGGTGTTGTGTTAAATGGTTTCATTTTACAAAGAGGAAGGATGATAAAACCTCCGTTTTTGTTTGGGAAGTGATAAAAATAAGGGGGTAGCAGTGTTTCTAACCTTACAAATAGAGAAAACTGGGCAGTGCCTCACTTAGAGCAGTAAGCAATGCATGTGGCCATGTTATTGGGGTACTGTTTCCTGAATGCTGAACTAGCACATAGAGGAGATTGGATATAGAAGCACTGGTAGCAGTTGCTAGTAAGAACTCTTGGGTGGGCATTTCTTAATGTGTTGCTTGTATGTTGGATTTTCCTGCTTTTCCTAATAGTTTTAAGTAGGGAAAAACTCTAAATTGTTAGGTCCATTGTTTTGTTTTGATGCAGGACATTCATTAGAGATTGTCTGTCTGGTGGACTGTGCTAGGGCGGGGAGAATGATTTACTGAAGAGTTGAGGAAGAAACCAGAGGGACTTGTTGTCGGAAGTTGATTCTCTGATTAGGTGACTACATTTATTATATTTACTTGAATTTTCCTAAAGGCAGTGCAAGTTAAGAGTTCATCTTCAATGTAATTCTCTTTCTGGTAGTGAGGTTAGGTGGGCGTAAGAGGGTAAGTTATCTGAATTACATTACTTTGTGCAGTTTTTGAGCTTCTTAGGAAATGCAAAAGAGCCACACATTTTAAGCAGTTATTACTAAAAATAGTGTAAAATGGAAGATAAAATAATCTATTCAAGTTTTCATAATTCGAAGAAATAGATGTAGCTATTGATACAATCTTGGACAGCTTCTAAATTTAGCCAGTTACTGCTGTAAAGTACACAGGTTCTTGTGATAGACAGCATTTTGTTGAGTATGTCTACCTGTTGGTTTTTCCCTACTGCGTTTTTTGAGGATGTGAATTTAAATATCCAGTTTAGAAGACTGCTGAAATTTACATTGTTTCCTTCAGTTTAAATAGGCTATCCTTGAATATTTGGTTTTTTATAATTATAGAAGTTTTGTTGTCCATCAGAATTTCTCCATGATTTGCTTGCCCTTCTTACTTAGTGGCAGTGGTAAGGTGTATGTCTAACCTTAAGCTTTGCAAAATCCAGAATGTGTGATTGCCACAAGAAGATGAAATGGTTGAATTTTTCCACATAGAGTGCTCTAAGTATGAGTAAGGCATCTTGGGCCATGGGAAGTAAAGACCAACTAGTAATCATTGAAAACAAATTCACTGAAAAATATAGTGGATTAATTAAAGATTGGGGTTAGTAGATTCATTATTTATTCCATCCCACTACAGGTATCTATCTTATGCATGGTAATGAGGCACTAGACTAAGAATGATGTGGATAATTGACATCTACAAGTAATTAAAACTCTTCATAGTAGTGATCATTTTCAATTTTCTGAAGCAAAACTTATCGTAGGTGGTAACAAGATTCATTACCTTTTCCGAGGTAACTGATTTAGCCATTGGTACTGAGGTGTAGACTGGAAACTATATGGATAATTAAAGTCTGTAAATAACTCCAGCTCTCAAAACTTACTTTCTAATTTCCCTGGCAAAAGGCAACTCACTGGAGCTATTAATAAATGGCAGAATCAAAGAGAGTGTATTTCACTGCTTCTTTCTGACCCTACTTTCTAATGGCGGTGCTAATGAGAAATGTCAAAATGAAGACATCGGGAAGGAGAAGTAAGGGAATTTTGACTTATCAGTACCTGCCACAGTTGGGTTTTTGAGTGGTCTTGCTTTTCTCCATATTAATAAAGTCACAGTGATAATATGAGCTCATATCTCAAACACAGAAATCAAACTTTTGAAGCCAAAAGTTTTAATTTTTTTTTTGTTTTGTGTTTATGTAGTCTCTCTAATTCAGTTAGAGTAGAAAGTCTGCTGTGTAATTAATTTCTGAATTTTTGTTTCCTGTCTGTATTTCTGTTAATTACTGCCTTGAAAACTTTCAGTTCAGGATTTTTTTCTTGGAGATGACTTCACGTTTTATCGCATGAGATGATCACTGTTAACTTTTATGAGATATACTACCAGTTTACCAAGTTCTGTGGACAAATTAGGCCCAAAGTGATCCAATTCCAAGGGGGAAACATTGTGAAAAGCCATTTTATCCCAAATGTCTAAGGTTTGGGTATGTATTTTTTGTTTTGTTTTTTGTAAGGGGAGAAGGTGGACTCACATTCTTCCTACCTTAAAGAATTGCCTACATATGATTTTATTAAAAATATTTTTCTTCTGGCTAGTCAACAAATATTTTAGAGATTCACTCTCATATGCCTGGTTTCTTCAGTCTTGAATAGAACTTTATAGCAACAATTTGATGTCAAACAAACTTGAATTCAGTTCCTAGCTCTGCCACTTCCTAGGTTTGTGATCTTAAGTAATTTAACCATTCTACACTTTGGTTTCCTCATCTGTAACATGGGATAATAAAAATAACAAACACTAAGAGCTGATGTAAGAATAAAATGAGATAGTGCAGTAAAGTGCCTCACAGAGTGATTGGCACCTGGAAAGTGTTCAGTAAATGTTCTTAGTAGCTGTATTATTCTGCACCCTACAATCATCTCTTTATTACCTTCTCTTCGTCTTTAAGCTCTTTCTTCTCTGATACCCATCTTCACATAGGCCTCTTGGACATAGGATTCTTCAATTTGAAAATACCCCTTTCATGGCTATTGCTGCCACCTTAACTACCAACTTATTTTTCTCTACTTTTATTGCTTTGTGTGGCCATTTTCCACACCTTCCTATCTTTGTAGCGACCCTGTACAGTCTGCTGCTTGCCCATACCACACTGTGTATTTTCTCCCCAGGGCCAAGAGTAATGTTAAGGCCAAATCTGTTGGTCCTTGTATTAGTTACTGCTTTCTTGGGTTGTATTCTTTTAGATATCCTCCTACCTCTGAACCTTTGCTTCCATTGACTTTGCCAGAGACAGATGGACAGACAGACTCTGTGTGTGTTTATGTGTGTCCTTGCTTTCCTTCTCCATAACCCCTGTCATCTGTATACTGATAACACCCAAATGTTTATCAAGCTGTCAACTCTCCTGAGTGCCAGTCCCACATCTCCAGTTCACCATTTTGATATTTATCATTTGAAAATTAGTATGAATCTTATTGAAAAAACTTGGCTTCTGGTTTGAACTTACTTATTTTTCTTTCTCACTACTGCCACCTGTATCACCTAATATCTAAAATCTTAAAGTCATATCAGAAGTGCTCACTCCATTCGCTCTTGCTTTTCCTCCTAAAACAATTTAGTATGATGACTTTCAGATGTGGGAATCTTTACTGTTGCCCACTGCCACTGTTAATGATGGGAGGATGTCATATCTCAGGAGTTATTGGAGACAGAGAAAAAAATGAAATACAAACCCTCCTCTTTTTTTGACTGTCTGACTCTGTACTCTGTGCCTTATATATTCTCCTTCTTATTCCCACTTTTATGCCTTTTGTTGTTATAGTCCGGAATGTTCTCTACTTCCCTGCTTATATGAATTCCACCCATGCCTTAAAGCCCAGCTCATATCCCACCACTTGTTTTAAACTTTCCCTTCTCTGTCTCTTGGTCCACACCAGTCTTTCCTGTGTTAGAACTCCCAGAGGAATATGTATCCACTTATATATGACATGAACCATATGTTACCTGGTAGTGTTAGCTTGGTGTGATGTGTATAGATTCCAATATCTTCCTTCCTATATATTGTGAGCTCCTTGAGCTTAGAAATTGTACCTTGGATCATATTTTTCATTATATTTGGCAATATATTGTTAGATGGAGGTAAATTTGAGGAAGCTGTTCACGATAGAAGTGAATAAACTTTGATTTTATGCATACAATTTAAAACAAGACAATACAACTAGAACCCATAGGTAGAAAAGATTGAGAGCACAGTAGTTATCATGAAAAGTCAGACTTCTTCATATTGTTCATACTACCCTCATGTAAAAGAAGCTCCTTATTATTTATATTTCGATAAGTAAAGATTCAGTAAGTCAGAGTACTTGTCCATGTTTTTTTATTTTAATTCACTTAGTTTTTTTCTTAGATGAAAAGGGATAACTTATCTTAGATAGAAATAAAATTAGATACATGATCTCAGCATTCTTTTTCTGGCCATAATGCTCTTTAGAACATACTGGAAAGCATATGATTGAGAAATAAAGGCGTCTGTTAATGGGGTTTTCTAACACCTACCCTACTTTATTAGGCTTCCTTTCTGTTCGTTGACTTAAACATCTTGTTCTACAGTTGATACATTTTTAATATTAAGAATAGTCCTAAAACTTCCATCAGATAAAATAGTATGTCTGATTATTTCTAGTTGTAGGTTAGTTTATAGAAGTTTTCTTTTAAAAAAATAAATAATTATATAATTATGTATAATATATAAAATATATTACTGATATTGATATGAACTATTAATAT